CAATAAATGTAATTGTCATGAAGCTATTTGTAAGTGCCTATGTACTTTAAAGTTAATGAAGCCTCCCTTGACGCAYTATCATTAACATATTGACCTTTAACAGATTGAACCTTTAACATGCAACACTTAAATGAAGGAATATTCACTATTTCGATTAATAATAATTACTATAGGAATCAGCTTACAGAGAATCAGCACAATTATGTGGAAATATGTTTTGACAATGACTTTAAACTATTTGATATTAAACAATAAATTTGATTTAATCACTTTAGCATATGCTGGAAGACAAGATCTGCCATGTGGTGCAAAGAAAGGAATTGCGCAAGCAATGACCATGTCAATCAAAAATCTTAGAAGATCTAGTGACCTTCTGGTCAAAAAAGCAAAATGGGAGAGAAAGAAATGGGTGCCGACCATTCAAAAAACATGGAAACCAAGTCTACTGAGTTAAAATCCGAGTCTGAATCTGATACAGACTTTTTTTCTGACCATGGGCATTCTGAGTTACAAAACCCATACTACAATTACAATTTATGTGCATCAGTTTGGTAATGGCTATTAATTATATAATTATTAAAGAATAATGCCTTAATATCAGTTCCCATAATAATTATTGATCAATTTGTGGTTTTGGTATATATGGTATGTTATGGTATGTTATAGGTAAGCATGTGGTAAGGAAGGATACAAATAAGGTATGTGGCAGGTATGGCAAGAATACATACCATTTACATACCAGATTATGGCTCCTTGATTTATAAGTATGTAAATGATATGTCGGCACCAATATTTACATACCCAATACATACCATTTTTCTCTGATGCAGTCAAATGAATTGAGGTATGTAAATGGTAAGTTCGGGATATGTAAAAAGGGGCCAGTTTTAGTACTTGAAAATTACCTATTACATACCTCTTGTAATGGGTAGGTGTATGATATGCTCAAGGTATGTAATAGGTAGCTTGTGGGTATGTCCGAAGGTATGTCTGAGATATGTCCAAGGTATCTAAATGGTATTCATGATATACCCTTTACATACTTAGAACATACCTACAACATACCAAAAATTCCGCATGGGTTACCTTTTCGAAAAGCATCAAGACAAATTATATTTATAAATACCTCTCCTCCTGATGAGAGAATTGAACTTTTAAAACCTATTAATGACATACAGTCTTTTGACTAAACCTTGTCGTTGATCAGTCTCATGCTTACGCGACAAGACCGAAAAGGACTACGGGTATAAATTAATATGCAAATTAATTATTCTCTATCTTGATAACGACTRCACCATGAAAAATAAAACTCGCATTTGCCTTCGCGTTTTGCACAAAAAAGCGATTTCGTAATGGTATTTTGTATTCGTATTCTACATTTTAACTAGACGATCATTGATCGCTTACGTGGGCTTCCTGTGACAATGGTGTTTCATTTTAACAAGATAGTCTTTGTTTGTAATAAGTCAAGACAGAATTAAGTTAATATGTTATCAATTTATTACATCATAATTTTTTACCGAACTGAACTCTAAGTAAATTCTTTGGATACCATGTCTTTTTTCTCAGTTTTCCAAAATAACTAGCTCGACTTTACGCTCAAGAGCGTCTATATTATTCAAAATATCTGATAGGT